CGACTCGTCCGTCTCTGACGCCGTCGTTTTTGTTTTACGGATCTGTGTCGACGTCTGTGAAACGCCAAGAGATTCACCTCCACAACACCAGGAGGCGACGAGTTACACCTGGAGTTCGTTTTACAAAATGAAGCGGGAAAATTTAGAAAAGGAAATGACCGTCTGCGTCGCTTTGATGTGTAGTTAGAACATTTCTGAGGCGAACGTTGGTCGACGAAAACGAACTGAGGACGAGGTTCACGACGAATCTGATGCACGACCATAAACTGGACTTTAGAACTTTACACACTCATGTTTGAGCAGCTCACAGTTTAAAACACCAGAATCACTGCAGCCTCAGATTTAGTCCTGGTCCTGGTCCTGGTCCTGGTCCTGGTCTTGGTCCCGGTCTCGGTCCGGTCTTACCCGTGTCTCTGTGTCTCTGTTTCAGACCTTCATCGTGTTGAACAAGGGCAAAGCCATTTTCCGCTTCAGTGCCACGTCTGCCCTGTACCTGTTCAGCCCCTTCCACCCGGTGAGACGCCTCGCCATCCGCGTCCTGGTCCACTCATATCCTTTCACAATAAAACACCAAACATACAGGTAACCCTTTCACAATAAAACACCAAACATACAGGTAACCCTTTCACAATAAAACACCAAACATACAGGTAACCCTTTCACAATAAAACACCAAACATACAGGTAACCCTTTCACAATAAGAGTCTGAAGAGTGTGTGTAAGGGGGGGGGTCTGTGTCTCTGTCAACAGATCATAAACATCAACAGTAAGAGAAACTAAACCAGGACTAGACCAGGACTAAACCAGGTCTAAACCAGGTCTGTTTTGGTTCAGTTTGGTCTCTGGTCGTTCGTCTTGATTTAGTCCTGATGTGGATTAGTATTGATCATTTTGTCAATAAACAACAGAAAACAAACTTAAGACTCCAAGACCATGAGACCTGGTTTAGACCTGGTTTAGTCCTGGTTTAGACCTGGTTTAGATCAGGTTTAGTCCTGGTTTAGACCAGGTTTAGTCCTGGTTTAGTTCTGGTTTAGTCCTGGTTTATCCTGGTTTAGTTTCTAGTTTATCCTGTTTAGTCCTGGTTTAGTCCTGGTTTAGTCCTGGTTTAGACCCCAGGTTTAGTCTGGTTTAGTCCTGGTTTAGACCTGGTTTAGTCCTGGTTTAGTCCTGGTTTAGTCCTGGTCTGTGGTCAGTTCTATTTTCATTTGCTGTTGTGACATTTTGTTCTCGTTGTGCACAAGGGTTTATTGCACGTGCACGAGGCCTGACTGTGTGTGTGTGTGCACGTGTGTGTGCACGTGTGTGTGTGTGTGTGTGTGTGTGTGCACGTGTGTGTGTGCACATGTGTGTGTGCATGTGTGTGTGCACGTGTGTGTGTGTGTGTGGAGCCAAGAGCATTTGGAGGCAGGAGCGTGCACGTGTGTCCAGGGGCGTGCACGTGTGTCCAGGAGCGTGCACGTGTGTCCAGGAGCGTGCACGTGTGTCCAGGGGCGTGCACGTGTGTCCAGGAGCGTGCACGTGGCTGGTATCTGCTGCTGTCAGATCAGAGGCGTCTAAGTGCTGAAGTGTGACACGAGTCCTGTCCACACCAAGACCAAGACCAGGACCAAGACCAGGACCAGGACCAAGACCAAGACCAGGACCAAGACCAGACCAGGACCAAGACCAAGACCAGGACCAGACCAGACCAGGACGCACCAGGACCAAGACCAAGACCAAGACCAAGACCAGACCAAGACCAGACCAGACCAGACCAGGACCAGACCAAGACCAAGACCAAGACCAAGACCAAGACCAGGACCAGGACCAAGACAGGACCAAGACCAGACCAAGACCAGACCAGACCAGGACCAAGACCAGGACCAAGACCAACCAAGACCAAGACCAAGACCAGACCAAGACCAAGACCAGACCAAGACCAGACCAGGACCAGACCAGGACCAAGACCAAGACCAAGACCAGACCAGACCAGGACCAGGACCAGGACCAAGACCAAGACCAGGACCAACCACCAAGACCAAGACCAGGACCAAGACCAAGACAGGACCAAGACCAGGACCAAGGACCAGACCAAGACCAGGAGACCAAGACCAGGACCAGACCAGGACCAGGACCAGACCAAGACCAGACCAGACCGACCCAAGACCAGACCAAGACCAGACCAAACCAGGACCAGGACCAGGACCAAGACCAGAGGACCAGGACCAAGACCAAGACCAGGACCAGACCAGGACCAGGACCAAGACCAAGACCAAGGACCAAGACCAGACCAGGAGGACCAGGACCAAGACCAAGACCAAGACCAAGACCAAGGACCAGACCAGACCAAGACCAAGACCAGACCAGGACCAAGACCAGGACCAGGACCAGGACCAAGACCAGACCAGGACCAGACCAAGACCAGGACCAGGACAGACCAGGACCAAGACCAAGACCAGGACCAACCAAGACCAGGACCAACCAGACCAAGACCAAGACCAGACCAAGACCAGGACCAGACAGGACAGACCAGACCAGGACCAGGACCAAGACCAAGACCAAGACCAAGGACCAGGACCAAGACCAACCAAGACCAGGACCAGACCAACGACCAGACCAGACCAGGACCAGACCAAGACCAAGACCAGGACCAGGACCAGGACCAAGACCAACCAAGACCAGGACCAAGACCAACCAGGACCAGGACCAACCAGGACCAACCAAGACCAAGACCACCACCAGACCAGACCAAGACCAGACAGACCAGGACCAAGACCAGACCAGACCAAGACCAGGTCCAGGACCGAGGATCAGAGACTGGGGACCAGGACCAAGTCTAGTTCAGTCCACACAAGACCAAGGACCACAGACCAAAGACTGGGGGAGCCAGTTTAGACCTGGTTTAGTCCTGGTTTAGACCTGGTTTAGTCCTGGTTGAGTCCTGGTTTAGACCTGGTCTAGTCCTGGTTTAGTCCTGGTTCAGTCCTGGTTTAGTTCTGGTTTAGTCCTGGTTTAGTCCTGGTTTAGACCTGGTTCAGTCCTGGTTTAGTTCTGGTTTAGTCCTGGTTTAGTCCTGGTTTAGACCTGGTTTAGTCCTGGTTCCTGGTTGAATCCTGGTTTAGTCCTGGTTTAGTCCTGGTTCAGTCCTGGTTTAGTCCTGGTTTAGTCCTGGTTTAGTCCAGTTTTAGAGACACACAGAGTCACTTTGTGACATCATCGTGTGACTCTGTGTTTTTAGTTTAATTTTCACTGCTTCACTCCTCAGTGCACGTTGGCTCGTGCGCGCGGCTCGTGCGCGCGGCTCGTGCGCGCGCTCGTGCGCGCGGCTCGTGCGCGCGGTCGTGCGTGTGGCTCGTGCGGCTCTGAGCCCAGTGAAGGTGTCTGTAAGAGGCTCCTCAAACTGACGCGTGATTGGCCGACAGCCCGGCGCCACTGGGACAGAACGCCGCCTGATTGGACGAGAGCCGACATGTGACGCAGGTGTGAACGAGAAGATAAGAGCGGGACACAGGCTCCAGAAGAGAACTAAACCAGGACTCAACCAGGACTCAACCAACTAGGACCAACAGGACTCAACCAGGACTCAACCAGAACTAAACCAGGACTCAACCAAGAACTAAACCAGGACTAACCAGGACCAGGACTAAACCAGACTAAACTAAACCAGGACTCAACCAGGACTCAACCAGAACTAAACTAGGACTCAACCAGGACTAAACCAGGACTCAACCAGGACTAAACCAGGACTCAACTCAACCAGGACTAAACCAGGACTCAACCACTAAACCAGGACTCAAACCAGGACTAACCAGATCAGACTCAACCAGGACTAACCAGGACTAAACCAGGACTAAACCAGGACTCAACCAGGACTCAACTCAACCAGGACTCAACCAGGACTAACCAGACTCAACCAGGAACTAACCACCAGGACCAGGACTAACCAGGACTAAACCAGGACTAAACCCAGGACTAGGACTCAAGGACTCCAACCAGAACTAAGACTAAACCAGGTAAACCAGGACTAAACCAGGACTCAACCAGGACTAAACCAGAACTAAACCAGGACTAAACCAGGACTAAACCAGAACTAAACCAGGACTAAACCTGCTCTAGAATAAGAATAAATCAGGTCTTAACCTAAATCTGGTCTGGACCAGGTCTAAAACAGGACTATGGTCCTCCTCCTCTTTCCTCCTCCTTTTTTCTCCTTCTTCCTCTTTTCCTCTTTTCCTCTTTTCCTCTTTTCCTCTCCTCGTCTTCTCTTCTTCTTCTCCTCCTCCTCCTCTCCTGGAGTGATTGACAGGTGTGGGTGTAATTACAGCTTTGCCCTCAGCGTGTCCCTCTCAGGCTCCTGTACACCTGTCATTATCCCAGCAGAGCCCCGCCCCCTCGCTCCACCTGACGCCACCGCTTCACCTTCACAACAACAGCCCCCAACATCCTGGTCCTGGTCCTGGTCCTGGTCCTGGTCCTGGTCCTGGTCCTGATCCTGGTCCTGGTCCGGTCCTGATCCTGGTCCTGATCCTGGTCCTGATCAAGACTTAATCCTGGTCCTGATCCTGGTCCTGATCCGGTCCTGTTCAAGACCTGATCAATTCCTGCTCTAGTCCTGGTTTAGTCCTGGTTTAGTCCTGGTTCAGTCCTGGTTTAGTTCTGGTTTTGATCGTGTTGCATCCAGAAACAGGAAACGTTCAACATTTTTGGGGGAAAATGATGAAGATGAAGTGGAGTTTTATTATAGAGACTTTCACACTGATGACATCACACTGATGACGTCACACTGATGACGTCACACTGATGACGTCACACTGATGACGTCACACTGATGACGTCACACTGATGACGTCACACTGATGACGTCACACTGATGACATCACACTGATGACATCACACTGATGACATCACAATTTACACATAAACATGACACAAACTGAACCCAGCGACTGGACAGACCTGAAGTTTGTGCAGGAGTGTCATTAGTGCGACGCTCTGAAGGGGGAGCGACTCAGCACAGAGAGGCTGAGTGTGTTGGGGTTGGTGCTCTGAAGGGGGAGCGACTTAGTTTGGAGAGGAGGGAGACTCAATAATAAACTTTTACAAAAGACCAAAAGGTAAAATGTTGATGTAAATCTGTGTAGTATTTGTACTTCATGACTGCAGTACTCTGTAGTAGTAGTAGTAGTAGTATTTGTACTTCATGACTGCAGTACTCTGTAGTAGTAGTAGTATTTGTACTCCTTGACTGCAGTACTCTGTAGTAGTAGTAGTAGCAGTAGTAGCTCCTGTATAGTTGTCTCCTTGACTGCAGTACTCTGTAGTAGTAGTAGTAGTAGTATTTGTACTCCTTGACTGCAGTACTCTGTAGTAGTAGTAGTAGTATTGTACTCCTTGACTGCAGTACTCTGTAGTAGTAGTAGTAGTAGTAGTATTTGTACTCCTTGACTGCAGTACTCTGTAGTAGTAGTAGTAGTAGTAGTATTTGTACTCCTTGACTGCAGTACTCTGTAGTAGTAGTAGTAATTGTACTCCTTGACTGCAGTACTCTGTAGTAGTAGTAGTAGTAGTAGTATTTGTACTCCTTGACTGCAGTACTCTGTAGTAGTAGTAGTAGTAGTAGTATTTGTACTCCTTGACTGCAGCTCTTGACTGCTGCAGTACTCTGTAGTAGTAGTAGTAGTAGTATTTGTACTCCTTGACTGCAGTACTCTGTAGTAGTAGTAGTAGTAGTAGTATTTGTACTCCTTGACTGCAGTACTCTGTAGTAGTAGTAGTAGTAGTATTTGTACTCCTTGACTGCAGTACTCTGTAGTAGTAGTAGTAGTAGTATTTGTACTCCTTGACTGCAGTACTCTGTAGTAGTAGTAGTAGTAGTAGTATTTGTACTCCTTGACTGCAGTACTCTGTAGTAGTAGTAGTAGTAGTAGTATTTGTACTCCTTGACTGCAGTACTCTGTAGTAGTAGTAGTAGTAGTAGTATAGTATATTGTACTCCTTGACTGCAGTACTCTGTAGTAGTAGTAGTAGTAGTAGTATTTGTACTCCTTGACTGCAGTACTCTGTAGTAGTAGTAGTAGTAGTAGTATTTGTACTCCTTGACTGCAGTACTCTGTAGTAGTAGTAGTAGTAGTAGTATTTGTACTCCTTGACTGCAGTACTCTGTAGTAGTAGTAGTAGTAGTAGTATTTGTACTCCTTGACTGCAGTACTCTGTAGTAGTAGTAGTAGTAGTAGTAGTATTTGTACTCCTTGACTGCAGTACTCTGTAGTAGTAGTAGTAGTAGTAGTATTTGTACTCCTTGACTGCAGTACTCTGTAGTAGTAGTAGTAGTAGTATTTGTACTCCTTGACTGCAGTACTCTGTAGTAGTAGTAGTAGTAGTATTTGTACTTCATGACTGCAGTACTCTGTAGTAGTAGTAGTATTTGTACTCCTTGACTGCAGTACTCTGTAGTAGTAGTAGTAGCAGTAGTAGTAGTAGTAGTATTTGTACTCCTTGACTGCAGTACTCTGTAGTAGTAGTAGTAGTAGTATTTGTACTCCTTGACTGCAGTACTCTGTAGTAGTAGTAGTAGTAGTAGTATTTGTACTCCTTGACTGCAGTACTCTGTAGTAGTAGTAGTAGTAGTAGTAGTAGTATTTGTACTCCTTGACTGCAGTACTCTGTAGTAGTAGTAGTAGTAGTAGTATTTGTACTCCTTGACTGCAGTACTCTGTAGTAGTAGTAGTAGTAGTAGTATTTGTACTCCTTGACTGCAGTACTCTGTAGTAGTAGTAGTAGTAGTAGTAGTAGTATTTGTACTCCTTGACTGCAGTACTCTGTAGTAGTAGTAGTAGTAGTAGTAGTATTTGTACTCCTTGACTGCAGTACTCTGTAGTAGTAGTAGTAGTAGTAGTAGTATTTGTACTCCTTGACTGCAGTACTCTGTAGTAGTAGTAGTAGTAGTAGTAGTAGTATTTGTACTCCTTGACTGCAGTACTCTGTAGTAGTAGTAGTAGTAGTAGTAGTATTTGTACTCCTTGACTGCAGTACTCTGTAGTAGTAGTAGTAGTAGTAGTATTTGTACTCCTTGACTGCAGTACTCTGTAGTAGTAGTAGTAGTAGTAGTATTTGTACTCCTTGACTGCAGTACTCTGTAGTAGTAGTAGTAGTAGTAGTACTCCTTGACTTTGTAGTCCTTGACTGCAGTACTCTGTAGTAGTAGTAGTAGTAGTAGTATTTGTACTCCTTGACTGCAGTACTCTGTAGTAGTAGTAGTAGTAGTAGTATTTGTACTCCTTGACTGCAGTACTCTGTAGTAGTAGTAGTAGTAGTAGTATTTGTACTCCTTGACTGCAGTACTCTGTAGTAGTAGTAGTAGTAGTAGTATTTGTACTCCTTGACTGCAGTACTCTCTTCAGCCTCTTCATCATGTGCACTATTCTGACCAACTGCTGCTTCATGGCCATGTCTGACCCGGCCTCCTGGACCAAGTACCTCGAGTGAGTACTGCAAATACTACAATACTCTGAATACTCTGAATACTGTGAATACTGTGACTACTGCAGATACTCCTCGTAACACTCGCCGATGTCCCTGCTCCTCAGATACACCTTCACGGGGATCTATACGTTTGAGTCCCTGATCAAAATCCTGGCGAGAGGATTTTGTGTCGGACCCTTCACCTTCCTGAGAGACCCATGGAACTGGCTCGACTTCAGCGTCATCGTCATGGCGTGAGTACGAACGCACAACGACCGCACAACGAACGCACAACGAACGCACAACGACCGCACAACGACCACACAACGACCGCACAACGTCCACACACGACCGCACACGACGCACAACGACCGCACAACGACCACACAACGACCGCACAACGCCACACAACGACCGCACCGACCGACGAACGACACAACGACACAACGACACACACACCGACACACAACGACAACGAACCGACACAACGACACACACGACCGCACAACGACCACAACGAACGACACAACGACACAACGACCGCACACAACGACAACACACAACGACCGCACAACGACCACAAACGAACGACACACGACGACACACAACGAACGACACAACACACACGACGCACAACGCACAACGACCGCACAACGACCGCACAACGACACACGACGACACAACGACACAACGACGACACACACGAACGCACAACAACGAACGCACAACGACCGCACAACGACGCACAACGACACGACCGCACAACGACCACAACGACCACAACAACGAACGCACAACGACACACACGACCGCACAACGACCGCACAACGACACAACGACACAACCGACACAACGACCACACACGACCACACAACGACACAACAACGACCGCACAACGACCACACAACGACCGCACAACGAACGCACAACGACCACACAACGAACGCACAACGAACGCACAACGACCGCACAACGACCGCACAACGACCGCACAACGAACGCACAACGACCACACAACGAACGCACAACGACCACACAACGAACGCACAACGAACGCACAACGACCACACAACGAACGCACAACGACCACACGACGAACGCACAACGCACAACGACCGCACAACGAACGCACAACGAACGCACAACGACGCACGACGAACGCACAACGAACGCACAACGACCGCACGACGAACGCACAACGACCACACAACGACCGCACAACGACCACACAACGACCGCACAACGACCGCACAACGAACGCACAACGAACGCACAACGACCGCACGACGAACGCACAACGACCACACAACGACCGCACAACGACCACACAACGACCGCACAACGAACGCACAACGAACGCACAACGACCGCACAACGACCGCACAACGAACGCACAACGACCGCACAACGAATGCACAACGAACGCACAACGACCACACAACGAACGCACAACGAACACACAACGACCACACAACGAACGCACAACGAACGCACAACGACCGCACAACGAACGCACAACGAACACACAACGACCACACAACGAACGCACAACGAACGCACAACGAACGCACAACGACGCACAACGACCGCACAACGAACCGCACAACGAACGCACAACGACCACACACGAACGCACAACGACGCACACAACGAACGCACAACGACCACGACGCACAACGCACACAACGCACAACGCACAACGACCGCACAACGACACGCACAACGAACGACACAACGAACGCACAACGACCGCACAACGACCGCACAACGACACACGACGCACAACGAACGCACAACGACCGCACAACGACCGCACAACGACCACACAACGACACAACGACCACACACAACGAACGAACACAACGAACGCACAACGACCGCACAACGACCGCACAACGACCACAACAACGACGCACAACGACGACACACACAACGACCGCACAACGAACACAACGAACGCACAACGACCGCACACAACGACCGCACAACGACCGCACAACGACCGCACAACGACACACAACGACAACGACACAACGACCGCACAACGACCACACGACCACACAACGACCACAACGACGCACAACGACCACACAACGACCACAACGACACACAACGACCACACAACGACACAACGACACAACGAACGCACAACGACCACAACAACGAACGCACAACGAACGCACAACGACCGCACAACGACCGCACAACGACCGCACAACGAACGCACAACGACCACACAACGAACGCACAACGACCACACAACGAACGCACACACGAACAACGACACAACGACCACACAACGACCGCACAACGACCACACGACGAACGCACAACGACCGCACAACGACCGCACAACGAACGCACAACGAACACAACGACACACAACGACGCACACGAACGCACAACGAACACAACGACCGCACGACGAACGCACAACGACCACACAACGACCGCACAACGACCACACAACGAGCACAACGACCGCACGACGCACAACGAACGCACAACGAACACGACGAACGACAACGACCACACAACGACACAACGACCACACAACGACCGCACAACGAACGCACAACGACGCACAACGACCGCACAACGAATGCACAACGAACGCACAACGCACAACGACACAACGACACACGACCACACAACGAACGCACAACGAACACACAACGACCACACAACGAACGCACAACGAACGCACAACGACCGCACAACGAACGCACAACGAACACACAACGACCACACAACGACCACACAACGACCGCACAACGAACGCACAACGAACGCACAACGACCGACACAACGACCGCACAAACGCAACGACACAACGACGCACAACGAACACAACGAACGCACAACGAACGCACAACGACCACACAACGAAACGAACGACACAACGAACGCACAACGAACAACAACAACACACAACCACACGACCACACAACGACCACACACGAACGCACAACGACCACACACGACCACACAACGAACACACAACGACCGCACAACGACCGCACAACGAACGCACACAACGATCCGCACAACGAACGCACAACGAACGCACAACGACCACACAACGACCACACAACGACCACACGACGACCACACAACGACCACACGACGAACGCACAACGACCGCACAACGAACGCACAACGAACGCACAACGAACGCCACACACGAACGCACAACGACCACACAACGACCACACAACGACCACACAACGAACACACAACAACACAACATGACAACAACAATAAACACACACACAACAGAAACACGCACAAAAACAAACGACGACAAAACGACAAAAAACACAAGAAAATCTGAGGAATAAAAGACGAGGAGGAGGAGCTGGTTCAAATGTGGTTCAGTCCTGGTTCAGTCCTGGTTCAGTCCTGGTTCAGTCCTGGTTTAGTCCTGGTTTAGTCCTGGTTCAGTCCTGGTTCAGTCTTGGTTTAGTCCTGGTTTAGTCCTGGTTCAGTCCTGGTTAGTCCTGGTTAGTCCTGGTTCAGTCCTGGTTTAGTCCTGGTTTAGTCCTGGTTTAGTCCTGGTTCAGTCCTGGTTCAGTCTTGGTTTAGTCCTGGTTTAGTCCTGGTTCAGTCCTGGTTTAGTCCTGGTTTAGTCCTGGTTCAGTCCTGGTTCAGTCCTGGTTTAGTCCTGGTTTAGTCCTGGTTCAGTCCTGGTTCAGTCTTGGTTTAGTCCTGGTTTAGTCCTGGTTCAGTCCTGGTTTAGTCCTGGTTCAGTCCTGGTTCAGTCCTGGTTCAGTCCTGGTTTAGTCCTGGTTCAGTCCTGGTTTAGTCCTGGTTAGTCCTGGTTCCCTGGTTCAGTCCTGGTTTAGTCCTGGTTCCCTGGTTCAGTCCTGGTTCAGTCCTGGTTTAGTCCTGGTTCAGTCCTGGTTTAGTCCTGGTTTAGTCCTGGTTTAGTCCTGGTTCAGTCCTGGTTTAGTCCTGGTTCAGTTCTGGTTCAGTTCTGGTTCAGATCTGGTTCAGTCCTGGTTCAGTCCTGGTTTAGTCCTGGTTCAGTTCTGGTTCAGTTCTGGTTCAGATCTGGTTCAGTCCTGGTTCAGTCCTGGTTTAGTCCTGGTTCAGTCCTGGTTCAGTCCTGGTTTAGTCCTGGTTCAGTTCTGGTTCAGTTCTGGTTCAGATCTGGTTCAGTCCTGGTTCAGTCCTGGTTCAGTCCTGGTTTAGTCCTGGTCTTGTCTAGGTTTAGTTTTGACTTAAATCCTGTTTTTTTAATGTTTTGAATATGACACAACCTTGGTTTAGTCCGGGTTTAATCCTGGTGCAGTTCATGTGTAGTCCCTGGTTTAGTCCTGGTCTAGTCCTGGTTGAGTCCTGGTTGAGTCCTGGTCTAGTCCTGGTTTAGTCCTGGTTCAGACCGGACTTCAGGACCTTCTCACTTTTCACTTTTAAACAGGTTTTATTTTGTTTCTTCCTGACGCTGCAGCGGTTTTTCATAATCCCAGTTTAATCCCCTGAAAGTCTGACGCCTAATCTGAGCCGCGCTGACGCCACGCTCTTATTGTGAAGGAGACACGCTCTTATTGTGAAGGAGACACGCTCTTATTGTGAAGGAGACGGGCTCTTATTGTGAAGGAGACACGCTCTTATTGTGAAGGAGACACGGGCTCTTACGGGCTCTTATTGTGAAGGAGACACGCTCTTATTGTGAAGGAGACGGGCTCTTATTGTGAAGGAGACGCTCTTATTGTGAAGGAGACACGGCTCTTATTGTGAAGGAGACGGGCTCTTATTGTGAAGGAGACACGCTCTTATTGTGAAGGAGACGGGCTCTTATTGTGAAGGAGACACGGCTCTTATTGTGTGAAGGAGACGGCTCTTATTGTGAAGGAGACGGGCTCTTATTGTGAAGGAGACACGCTCTTATTGTGAAGGAGACGCTCGGCGGGCTCTTAGGCTCTTATTGTGAAGGAGACACGCTCTTATTGTGAAGGAGACACGCTCTTATTGTGAAGGAGACGGGCTCTTATTGTGAAGGAGACGGGCTCTTATTGTGAAGGAGACACGCTCTTATTGTGAAGGAGACGGGCTCTTATTTTGTGAAGGAGACACGCTCTTATTGTGAAGGAGACAGGCTCTTATTGTGAAGGAGACACGCTCTTATTGTGAAGGAGACACGCTCTTATTGTGAAGGAGACGGGCTCTTATTGTGAAGGAGACGGGCTCTTATTGTGAAGGAGACGGGCTCTTATTGTGAAGGAGACACGCTCTTATTGTGAAGGAGACA